CAATAGTCACAAACATATAACCTACCATTGTGCTTAGTTGTATATCCAGCTAATTTTCCTAATCCATCTCTTCCTTGAATTAAGTAATAATGTTGAACTGGTTCACCTGTTTTTGGATCATCTCTTATTATTAATAAAAATTAAATCATCTTGCATGATTGATAATTCCCTTCTTTATGATTGCATCTATCATGTACTTTAGATTTAGATGCAATTTTTTTTGGGATAAGTTCTTTTTCACTCCATCCATAAATTGATACAGATATATCAGAATTCTGTTTTTCAAACTTTTCCATTATATCATTGTTAACTTTTACTGGAAATTGAATCCTTTTGAAATTTAATATATCTAAATGAGGGATGTACCATGAAACTCATTCTCTATAATATTGTTGAAAATATAACTCTGCAAGAATACAATATTTAAAGTATCAATCATCTTTATTTTTGATATTAATAATTCCATTATTTCGTTTTGGTATTCCTTTGGGTAAAGGAAGGTGTAAATTGGTTGTTAAAGGGACATAAATTAACATTTCAATATTTATTTCTTCTGATTCTTCATAATACCAACCTGAGCCTTCACGAATATATACTTCTATTCGATTTTAAATATCTCAAATAAGCTCATCTACAATTTCTGGGATATCTTCTTTAACAATTACTATTATCACTTTATTTTTGAACGGAATTTCTTTATAATCTTTTTTATCATTATCATTTTCTGCAAATGTTCTATCTTCAAACAGTCCCTGCTGATAATTTGTTAATCGACTCATTTTTCCTGTGAGACATAATTGAGTTTTGAACCCATGAGTAAGGTCAAATCGATCATTGAAATATTTATTATTTGCTCCCTAAGTATTCCAAGAGTATTGATTGGGTCTTGTGCATATATGCTTTCTTTTCTTATTTCAACTTGATAATGATCATCTAATAATTTACATCTTGAACTAATAATATCCGTTTGATGAAATTGCAGAATAGGTTCTAATATTCCTAATGCTTCAAGATATTCTCTTTCAGTTTTTGGTGATGGAATAGGCTCAGCAATTTCTGGGGGATCAAATAATCCTAAGACATCGAGATATTCTATTTCTGGATCAAGTTGCGGTTGTTAATTAGGAGACGGAACTGGTAAGTGGCATGGATTTTTATTACTAATATAATGTTGACGAAGTTTTTGTGATGTTGAAAGAGAGAGACCACAACAATCACATGTTGTATTTTTTTTATCTTTTCTAGTCATAGTTTATAATTGATTTATAATATATTACTTATATAAAATCTTTTGTTTAAGTAATTATTTCACTATATCCTAAAAGGTATTATGTGATCCAGTACTATTTTAGATTATATGATAGGGCTTCAAAATTAGATTCTAGTTATATATATATTGAGGTCAGAGCTTTGCCCTAACTTTTTTTTTGATATATATATAATGAGGCTAGAGTTTTGTTCCAACTTTTTGATATTTTTTTGATATTCTTTATGATAAGAATAATTGATTTGGACATTAAGAGAGATAGTAAAAATTAGTTATTCTAAAAGAACCGCAAAATAACTAAAAATCTTTTATTAGAGGTTAGACTTATTTATATCGATAAAAATTTTGATGTTTTTTTTAAATAGGTATTTTATATTGATAACAATTTTGAAAGTTAATATGTTAACTATACTCAGCTGCACTCTGCAACTGTTTCGCATTCACCCTTTAGGATTCATGCTTCACAGTAACAGAAGACTAAATAAAGTTTAGAAAAGAATTAGAATAGTAAAAAAAATGATATTAAATTTAAGCTTGCAGAAGTATGTCACACTCAGCTTCAGGACATTCGTCCTTTAGCTTCCTGCTCCTTTTTTTATAGCAAGTAGAGTAGTAATATGAAGATGACGACAAAAAAAATAAATCACACGTCATTCGAATGACAATCAAAAAAAAATTAAGCAAAATGGTATAAAAATCGGTATAAGAAAAAAGCTTCCAGTGATGACAGAAAAGCAAAATGCTATACATATTGAGATTAGGGATCCTGTCCCAATTTTCTTATAAACATATTACTGAGGTGTTGCTTTCAATTTTGCATATACATCTACCTTGAAACTACACTGCTTTCTCACTGCTATGTTACTTTTTAACTTGTAGTTTTTCTACTTTTTATTATAAATATATCTCAAAAAATACGTTCACATTAAAATAGAGCAACTTGGAAAAACAGAAATCAATGATGCTTTCTTCAAGATATATATTCATTGAAAATTGACCATTTTTATATTGAAACTTGCTGAACATATTATTTATATTCTAGACTTGTCATATGTGAAACCAGTAGCATTACTTCACACTTCTGATGCAAATTGGGAATATCAATTTTCCTCAATTTTAAAGGATATTTTATGAAAGGAGCTTATGACAAAATTGAAATTCCATTGTATCTCTTTCTTTCTGAAACTAGTATTGGAAAATCTCGAAATGCTAATGAATTTTACCAGACAGCAATCGTATATTTGTCAGCTCAAGAAAATGGAGTCTGTTGACTAGGATTAAAAATACTTGGATATTTCTTGTTAGCTTGAAAAATGGAACCTCCATACTACCAGGGGAAAACCATTATTCTGCCATTGGTACTCGAATACTATTTCAGCTTCTCAAAGGAAAAATGAATATTTTTAATATTACCTAAACATATGTTTCATCAGATCCATTAGAAATTGTGTCATTGTTACTAAATACTATAACCGATACTTAAAAAGTGTTACTGTTATTTTGATTGTCAATGCCACATAACAATTTATGCAAAACAAAGATGATGGTTTAAAGGCAGATTTTCAGTTTTGTGAGACTTTGTCAGGTATTGTGGACCTTGTATTAAAAGGTACTTTCTTGATACCAGTTTGTACTTCAACAATTTTACTGGCCAAGTTTAGAATTCATTCAAATACTCATCTCGGAAATGTGTATACCTACCAATCATTTTTTTTACAATTTCCATACTATCATCAAGGAAATAAAATAGTTCCAGTCTTTAATAAGGATGAAATTACCAGTATTCTTGTGTAAGATCGTGAAAGGCACAGAAGGGCTTTAGAAGTTCTGAATAATTGTTTGGATGGTCGTGATATTGAAAAATGTAATCTCGGTACTCTAATGCATGACCTGCATTTTAGACTTATTGATAAATACCATAATGCTATTTTTGAATTCATAATATATGCCAGGTCCATTTCATCAGCAATATTAACTTGATGTCTTATATAGTAATATTTCAAAAACTGACAAGACACCAGATGACCTTGTTGGGAGTGGATTGATTTGATTTGAGCGAATCAGTAAGAATAGTCCATTGGGATACCTTACTGCACCGTACATTTGGCTCTGAATATTTGCAGAGCTATCTTATGAACAAGGAGATCTGATACTTCGAGATTGGCAATTTTTTGAATATACAGAACAAAGAGTGCTTTTGAATCAGATGTCATCATTGCATCCTAAGACTTGACAAAATTTTGAAAGGTTTGTTACATCATTTTGTTGTATGAAGTCAGCTGTAATCGAAGAGGGCGAGCTAACAACAATGTCAGAAATTCATGCAGGAACATGTTTGAATGGTGATATACAATTTAAAAATTACAATCTAGAACTAGAGATCACCAGACATCAAACAGACACAAATTCTGAAAATCATACTACAAGTAATTGGGATGTCGAATTTCAAAATTCTACCACTAATGTTCAGCAATTTAAACATTGCATTATTAATACTCCAAGTTCTCCGTATAGTGATGCATTCCTCTCACTAGATCAGCAGGATGCCAAGTTTTCAAATGAAATTCACAAATACAAATTAATGAAAAAACTGATTACTCAAGAGGAATACATACAAGAATGTGAAAAATTTTCATCAAGAAATGATTTTTTCATCCTATTTACAACTGCAGAAAACTGTAATATCAACCTTCCGAAACAGTCTGGAATTGTAGATGGAAAAGTTTTTAATGAATATTTTGGACCATTTGCTGGAAGAGCATACAGGTTCGCTATGTTCAAGTCCAATAGTATTTCGGAAACAAATATTAATATTGCATCTCTCGAGCAACTTTGCAGAGTGTACCGAATTGGAAAAAAACAAACAAGTACAATCATATCAACAAGACCATTTTGAAAATATTACGGAGGCAAATGTAAAAACAAAAATACCAATGAGTTTATTAAAGAATTTTTGTTTCCAAAAAAGTGATTTCTCATATTTTGCCTCGATTCATGTAATTACAATATCTCAAAATGGATGGTATCATATAATTTGATACTCTATCTTAGGATGATGACATCAAACTGTACTAAAAGGATAGAATAAATGGAATAACAAACCTGATGGTAGATAGAGATAAAAATAGATTTTCTTGCAAAATTTTGTAATTATTTTCTGAACATGGATAATAAGAACAAATTGTGGATAAAATTTTTTAATGTGTATATCACCGAATTCAGGGTCTAAACATAGTATATTATTTTAACATCGAGTTACAAATTAATGAGAATGTTTAATAAGTGTGTCCAGTTTTTCTAAAATTACAGTTTAATTATAGCATAAGGCTAAATGCAATTATATATTAATCCGAAATAAATAGGTTGACCTATTATTCTTCACGTACATACACAAAATAAAAGCCCGATGTGGCTTATAAAAAACTTTGAGACCCATGACACAAGGTCACGGTTGGCACATGTTCGAAGAAAATTTAAAAACATGCAGTAAATATCGTCCTAAAAATTATTAGTGAAGCTGGTATGGCCAATGCAATCTGTGATTTTTATTATAACATAGTAAAAATTCATGCAAAAATAAATGAGATTAACCAGAAATGTGTACATGAAATTTTTTTCTATTTAAAACTAAGGACCAATATCCAATTTATGTTCTAGTGCAGAAAAAAAAAATGAAATCTTTCATGAAAATTATGAAATATATATATAAACAAAAAATTTGTTATTAATCCCCAAGAAATAGCAATAAATGAAAGTCTAGAGTGTTAACTATTAAAGAACATCTTAGGTAAATTTTATTTCAAATAAATAGATATATTAAATCGAATAAATAGATATAATAAATCAAAAAATAGATGTGTATTATACATCGCATCTCCAGACCTCCCGTAAGAGTTTTGTAATACATGACTAATTGCATAGCAGTCTGGCCATCGGGTCTACATTCTATCCATTTTCTTTGTATACTAATACATGCTCGAATTTTCTTTGCAACCTCTCTTGTTTTCAATAGTATTCTGCATCCACAATTCATATCCTCTTTTTTTAGAAGTATGGGTTACCAAAGATCAGTTTTTTAAAGCTAATATCATAATAAGCATTTTCCGTGTAATTTGTGCTCCAATGCTCAACCATGAAATGGAGGAGCCAACACCCATATCCACATCCTATCTAGAATAAATGTCTCTCTCTCTCTCTCTCCGAGCTTGTTACAAGAATAACATATTGCTACACTTAACACAGAATGATCAAGATCACTTCCTCCCGATGGTTAAAAATCAAAGATCACTTCCCAAAATATTTCGTCATTATTATTTTTATATGTAAAACGATTCTTCCAATCAGATTGTACCAACTTTTGTTTGTTTTTGTTCAACAAATTAATCAAAATTAATCACCAGTTTCACAGTTAAATGAAACAGAAGACAAACGTCACGTGATTATTTCGCGCATAGACCATAAAAATAATTTAGCTTGCGTAACGAGTTCATTTCTTGCTACATATTTGATATATTTAATAAATCGTTATGATAGGCATATCATATCATTTATATGTAGCGGATTTAAAACTCTTTCCTTTAATACAAACATGCGTCCCCTTTTCCTTTTCATATTAATTTCAATGGTCATTTTAACTTCACTTCTTTACTTAAACTTTGTAATTATACAAACCAATGAAGACTTATTTGAAAAAGTAAGTGATAATAATGATAGCATAATACCTGAAGTCACCTCTGGTACTATAGGTCCCGTTGTCATGCCAAATTTAAACAATTCTACACTCAAGTAAGTATATTATGTATATTAGGTATTTAAGTTATATGTTAGAAATATTGGATGCTTGATAATTTTTTTAAACCTGTTCTAAATTAATTAAAATTAATGAAATTTATTTTAAATTATTTAATAAAAGAGCCGAACTTGGACAAAGTAGCTGGAAAGTAAGTATAGATTTTTTTTTCTAAATCTACAATATAATTAAATTCTTTATGGATTTACTAATATGTTAAATATATTTAATCAACAGTTAATACATACAATGATGGCAAGATTTCCGGAAAATCCAACTGAAGATGAAAAGGAAGCTCTTCGTAATTTTGTTTATTTATTCGGTAGACTTTATCCATGTGGTGAATGGTATGTGATTATTATTCATTATTTCTGATTAATTTTATTATTATTATTATTATTATTATTATTATTATTATTATTATTATTATTATTATTATTATTATTATTATTATTATTTTTTGATTATTATTATTTTTTTTTTTTGATTATTATTATTATATTTTTTTTTTTTGATTATTATTATTTTTTTTGATTATTTATTCTTTTTTTCACTGATGATGGGGAATTGATGATCGGAAATTGGGGATTGATATTTATATTTGGATAGTGCTTCGGAATTTCAAAAAATTATAATAATGTATCCACCCCAGGTCTCTTCTAGAGAAGCAGCATCTCAGTGGGCTTGTGCTGTTCATAATATTGTTAACGAAAGATTAAAAAAAGAAATATTTGATTGTGGAAAAATTGCGGAAAAATATAAATGTGGTTGTGATGAAACTTCAACTCTTCATAATTCTTTTACTTCAATTACTAATACCACCTCCACCACCTCCACCACCACCTCCACCACCATAAACGATTTGCTTACATCTACAACTACAACAAACACTTTAAGTTCACAAAAAAATTAAAAATAATTAATAAAAAGATATTTACATCTTTTGCTGGCAAAAATGTTTATTTAAATCAATCAATATTTGTAATTTTTATCAGTTAGAAATTTCACGTGTTTATTATAAAATTATTGGTTTTTTTGTGATAAATAGAAATGCTGTGGCTAAAGTATCGTTTTTGAGACACCTATGGTTATTTTTTTTTTGATACATCAAATACGTGTGACAAAAATGGTCATTTTTTTGATATGTTTATAATTGTTTTATTAATGGATGCATCAAAAAAAAAATATTTTGTCACATGAAAGTTGATATATCAAAAAAATAACCATAAATATATCAAAAACAATACCTTTGCAATGCTGTGTGCTTACATAATCACGTTGCCAGTAAAAATTCCACGTGTTTACAATAAAATTATTGGTTTTTTCAGGATAAATAGAAATGCATTGCTTTTGTGTAATCACATCATTATAACAAATATAACATGACAGTATAAAAAGTGCCAAGAAGTTGGATGTGTGTTGTTTGAAGTTCCTTTCCACCACACTATTATCAATACTATGGTTCCTCCTGTGTTGATTGACGATGTCATAATGCTTATATTAGACCATGTTGATCAGAAAACACTTTATTCATGTTTATTTGTAAATAGTAAACTGTATCAACTTACTCTACCAACGTTATGGCGTTCCCCTCGATTTATGAAATTCAGAAATGTCTTGATTTTCCAACAATGTCTTCAACAAAGACCTCATATGGGAAAATATATTAAAGTACTTTGTTTCAAAAGGCTTGGATTTTGTAATTATCTTGACGATGAACTATTAATTCAAATAATAAAAAGTTGTAAATATATCACAAAACTCGATCTCAGCTTTGCCGGCATGATTACGGATTCAGCATTGACGATAATATCACAACACTGTTCTCAACTTAATCATATTTGTTTAAAAGATTGTAGAACTTTAACCAATGATTCAATAAAAGCTATCGCAAAAGGATGTTTAATGCTCATTTCACTTAATTTTGAAAGATGTCTCAGTATAACATCTTTGGCCTTTGATGAATTAACCACCAATCATAAAAATTATGTAAAGAAATTAGATTTAACATTATGTAAATGGGTTAACGATGATATGGCACCAATTATTAGTAAATTTCATTCTTTAAAAAAACTCAATCTCACCAACTGTACAGAAATTACTTCTGACTTTCTTATAACCCTTTCACCAAATGTACCTAATCTAGAAGAACTTTATTTGGGTGGAGTATTACGAATTACAGATGAAGGTGTCATTCAAGTTGTAGATCATTGTCCAAATCTTCGTATCCTTGTTCTTTGTGGATGTGATATTCATGATAGAACTTTACATCATATTTCAAAATTAAAAAATCTATACAAATTAGATGTCACTTTTTGTATGAATATAACTCATAATGCAATTCGAGCTTTATTATGTATGAATATTACAAAGTTAAATTATGGAGAGTTAGATATTGATGAAAGAACTTTGATATCATTACGAAGAGAATATTTTCTTTCATTAAATGTTGCCAACTATTGAACAATCAAATGACTATTAATGAAAATGACAACAATAATTAAAAGTCATTAAAAACATAGAGATCAAGTAATTTATTTATTTATTTAATAATATTAATAATAATATTACAATTTTTTTTTTTACAATTTTTACTAATTTTTTGTAATTCTTATTTTAATAGCTTTATTTAACAGTTTCGAAATGTAGGATCCACCCAAGGTACACCCAAAATTTTAAATACATCCTCTTCTGTAGAGGTATCAATTTTTTGCCTAGGGAAAGTATTATGGAAAAGACCATGTGATGCCAATATCATTTCCTTTTCCTAATTGAATTTTCAAGAAACATAAGAAATTTATTCATAAACACATCCAAATGCAAAACAAAAAATTTCAACTTACTTTTCTCGCATAGTCTTTTAGTGATCGTAAAAAAAGTCTTGAACCTAAAAGAAGAAATTACATTAAAAATTGCGTAAAAGAAGATTGTATTTATTTATAATAATTGTAATACCAGTCCATCCAACTAATGCGGTAGCATATTGACTACGTGAAGCAATTATTATGTCGACTTGACGATGTAATTGAGTTGATGGTTGTAAAAATGCGCAAAAGCACTAAATAAAAAATAACAAGATAAATATAAATAAATATTAATTTAATAATTCATGTAAAAAAAAAAAAATGAATTTAATTTACAAAACAAAAAAAAAACAAAAAAAAAAATACTTTATCCAATCCATCCATTCTATTAGTACTTCGTTTAATCATCGTACTAGGAGGAATTTTATCCTTAGCACTTGGTTCTCCGTACCAGAAAATATCAGTTATAAAACCTATCATTTATCAATTTATGAATTAATTTTGATATAGAATATATAAACGAATGATTGATAAAAATAAAGTCACCTTTTTCTTTCAACCGCTCCACTATAGATTTCAATATATATTTTGTCATTTCTTCAACAGGATGAGAAATTATCACGTCAAAATCACCATTGAATTCTTTTCCTCGACGATATCCACCAACCGGAGTTATAATACATTCATGACCTAATGCATCTTTAACTTCTCTTTCAAAAATTCCGAAAATTTCTTCTACGTCCTTTCTTGACATTCTATAAATATATTTATTTTTTTTTTTAAAAAAAATATTTTATTACAATAAACTTACTTGATTTCAATTGAAAAAAAATGAAATTGAGATTTTATTATTACTTTTTTTGAAGGTCATCATATAATTCTAAACCGATTTTTTGCATATTATTCAATTTTGGATCTTTTTTACAATCCTCAATGGTTCTATATCCTTTTAAATACCAAGCTGTAGCTGTTTTATAGCCGACACCTATAATCGATAAAAAAAAAGAAAAAGGAAAATGATTTCATCTTCATCCTTATCAGTTAAACTAAAAATTTTTTTATTTATTTACCAAAGGAATGAGAAAACAAGTCAAGGATCTGAAATTTCTCATCTTGCTTGATTTCCTCTACTTCGGGTATTGTTCCAGTTTCCATATAAGTTTTTATAACTCGACCTATTTTTGCTCCAATTCCTATTAAGGATTTGATTTTATTTTTATTATTATTTTAAAATTTTTTTCATGAAATGAATTTCATGAATATTACTATTATTATTATACCATACCAATTATTTTACGAGCTTCTTGATAACTTTCGAGCTCACGAGGGTATGCCTATACGAATTAAAAAATGTAATAAATAAAATAATAATAATAATAATAACAATAAATAAATTTGACATACCTTTAAAGCAGCGATAGCACGTCTATAAGCCAATACATTAGGTTGTTCATTATTCAATCTTCGTACCTTTTCTAACTCTTCAAGTAATTCTATAAGTTCTTTATTAAATTTCGGATAAAGGGGAGTAGGACGAAAACACAAATATCTAGTATTCAGAAATCGAGGATCCAATTCCTTTTCTATTATTATTTTTTATTATTTTCATATAATAAATAAGATTTTTTTTTTTTATCATTAAATTATAGTTTCTAAATAAATAAAATTCAGACCTTCCAAATCTGAACCTTCGGTAAATTCTTGCCTAAAAAAAAAATATATATATAAAATTTCCAAAAAAAAAAAAAAATAGACAAATGGATCAAATAAATGTAAAATACAATGTACTTCATACCTTTCCTCTTCACCGACTTCAATACTTTTTTCCTCACCGATTTCAATACTTTCATCAGTAGTAGGTTCTTCATAGTCGGGATTATAGGCAATGATATAACCATTGTAAGGTAACCTTTTATTGGCTGAATGACTTTTTTTTAAAAAAATCGCGTAAGAAAAAGATTATTTTTACATCGATTACATCTTCAAAAAAAAGGGGGATGTTTTTACCATGCTTCGACCCAATCGATGCATATAATAGGTTTATTAAATGATTCTAGATCCAGATTACGACGTATTCTAGAAAGGGATCGTAAAGCAGTTAAGATGAGATCTGCATTCTCAGTTTTGTCAACTATTTTTCCGTGATGATGGATAATTTGATCTTTAAGTCTTTCAAATTTATCATTTGGTATTTTTGCGCTGATAATAAAAAATTTCCAATCTTTAAAATAATCCATAATAATAATTGTGATTGGTATTATTATTCTGAAGAGATTTTTATACAAAATATTCTTTAATAACGTAATCAGATCACCAAAATGACACTCAAATTACGCAGATTTAAATATTGCGTTTTCATTTTGTCATTTTAAATAAAATTTATCGAAACTTTTATATTTATATTACTATAACCTGTATTAATGAAAGCAAAATCTTTTAATAATTCAATAGAATTAATTACGGCAGTTTGGTAAGTATCCATACTTTGTTTTATCAAGCAATATTACATTACTAAGCGTTGATCATTAAAGAAATCTAATAAATTCAAAAAATAAAATAAAATCTGTAAATATTAATTAAAAAATAACTTCCGAACAATTTTGGTAATTTTAGCAATTTTAAACAGAAAGTGATTTTTTACTAAAATGCCATTCAAAATCTTTGAAATGTGAGCTTTACAATGGTGATTAAATAATCTTTCTTGCATTGATATTGTTGAGTTTATTACCATCCAAAGTCATTAAAGATTTGCAAACTTACTATTAGACTCGTGCTCAGCCCAAGTCCAACTTTTGAGTCAATAAGAATATTTTTTTTTAGACTGTCATTTTTCTATCTAATAGACAATATATGTGTGTGTTACATAATCACTAAAACTAGACCTGCCAAATAGAAAATATTTAAACAATCGGGAAGAATAAATAAAATACTGTACCACCATAAATATAATCCACGAAAGTTAAAGTTTTTAGTCTACAGCACGTGATATTATGCAAATATCCTTTCGAACATCTCTTTGCACCACTTTACTTCACTGGTAATCATATTTTTATAATTTGTAAAAATGTCGATCGGGGTTCCAATTAAATTACTTCACGAAGCTCAAGGCCATATTGTAACATTAGAGCTAAACAATGGAACTGTTTATAGAGGAAAATTATCTGAAGGTAATACTATCGATTTTTTTTTTTTTATAGATCGGTATACCAAGATTTTAATTGTTCTTTAATGTTTAAAATATAAAGCTGAAGATAATATGAACGTGCAACTTCGAGAAATTACAGTAACGGCGCGAGATGGTCGTGTATCTCAGTTGGATCAAGTATATATTAGAGGTTCACATGTACGATTCTTTATTGTACCAGATATGTTGAAGAATGCTCCGATGTTTAAGAAAATTGGACCAAATGCTATGAAGGGAAGAGGAATAGGAATGGGTAGAGGCAAAGCTACAGTTGCAAGAGCTCAAGGTACGATTTATTTATTTTATTTTTTTTAATTTATTATTTTTTTTTGATTTTTGATTTATGTATAATAATAATTTTAATTTATTTATATTTAATTTTCGCATTTATAGCTCGAGGAGGTAGAGCAAGAGCTTTTCGGGGTAACGTTCGTGGTGGTCGTGGTTCTCGCCCTCAATAATATATGGAATATTGGACAATAGAGATGACTAATTAAAGAAAAAAACGAGACTTTTTATAAAACCAAAAAATGTCTTGAGAGAAATAATAAATGTATAAAAAAAATTCTCCCGATCTATTTTAATTCGTTTCCCTTTTTCATTTGTAAGACTTGCAAGATTCTAATTTTTATTCAATAATTGAGAAGAGTATTTTATATAAATTTAAACGTCGACAAGCATTAATCGCATCATTGTCAGAAATCTGGTGGAATTTTCATTTTCTTTATGATGATGTATGATTATAAATCTGGGTTTTTTTTTTACAAAATATATGTGTGTATATATATATATATATAATGTATAGATTTACATCTGATGAGAAAACAAGATCTTGAAGGGAATAATAATAATAATAATAAAAATAATAAATTAATATTATTGATAGACTAAACATTGAATTATTTGTAATAATGTTTTACAAAAAAAAAAATAATAATAATAGGGTTTAAATTAATTAATTGTATAATTACATTTATTTTTGTGTATGAATGATGCCAAAAATTCTTAATAAAAAAAAAAAAGATATTTTTTTTTTTTTACTCTAATTTCCTCGAGAAAATGGAATTAGGATTAAATTATTATTATTTTAATGATTTTCTACGATCTTCAATATCAATTTTTGCCAAGTTTTGACTTGCGCCGACTAATTGAATTATATTAATTATTTGTTTGCCAGCACAAATGGGGAATGAAATTAAGGCCAATATATGAATTAAAGATAAATCTCCTAATGATTCTTTTTTTTGGAAACATAAAAAGAGATTATAATTATAAGAATAATTATAAGGTGATTTAGATATTATAAGAATAATTATAAAGTAATTTAGATATTATCAATAATATTATTAGAAGATTTTGACAACAACTCACCAACAGAAGACTTCTCAAATGATAAAAGATATAATGCTACAAAGAAAAGTTCATTGAATGCGCAAAAAGAAAAAAGAACATTCTACATAAGGAATATATAATTTGATTAATTTTAATGTGAAAAATATATGAAATAATAATTAATTTGAAACAAAAAAATTACTAACATTATTTGAATAATAAGCTCTTAAAATTGGATTTGATGATTTTGAAATTTTTTTATGACTGGCGGAACCAGCTATCAGAGAGCTATAATAAAAATAGATATAAGCAACTTGTAATAACTTGTAATAATTTGTATGTATTGAATAATTCCTCACCTATACATATGCATATAATGACTACTAAGATCCAAGGATATTAATAATTGAAACACTATAGCCCATGACTTATAAGCAGAAGATAGAAAACATAATAGACAAGTTGTAGTAGATCTGTGATATAACTTTGGTGAATAAAAAAGTTGTTTTCAATTGAATTAATTGAATATATATATATATCGAAATTTTTAATTACCTATCCGTGACCATATCTAAAACTGCACCAAACTTGCTACCTTAATAAAAAAAATGAATAAATAATTTATGCATAATTTAGTTATAATTTAATCTAATTTAATTTAATGAAAAAAAAAAGGGAACTTTACATTGATTAAAATATCTAGCAGCATTTCCGTCTATAGCGTCTAATAAACATGAAATAATATATAATATCATTGACGTCCACGGCTTAGACGGCATGTAATACAATGATACTATTGTAAGAATAACACGGCAATAACCTAAATTATATAAATTTTCATATAAAATGATATTAAACATTGTACGCATAATTCAAAAAAAAAATTTTATAATTCATAAAATTCGCACTACCTATAATATTTGGTATGAATAAAAAGACATTTTCAATAGTCTCGTGCGGTATTTTTTTTTGTTGCTGCTTTGGTTTATTAGCCATTATTATTATCAAAAAATTAGAAAAAAAAAATTTTAAGAAAAAAACAATTTTTTTTTAGTCTTTATTGGTCAGTTGGTCAGCAAAATTAAATAGGACCAATTATTTTTGCCGAATTCGCCATTTTTGACGCGTGTTCATTTTTCATTACAAAATGAGCAAAGTCTAAAACTGGATTAAATTTCGGCAAATTCAAAAAATTTTTTTCCGTTGTAATAGATTGACGGTTGTTGAAATTATCAATTCAGTTAGTTCAGTTAATACTTTAATCTAATTAATCGTCACGAATGATGAACAACAATGCGAATAATCGACAAATGCATAATTATAGGTCACATTTTCATCTGTAAAATCTGTAAATAATTAAATAATTGGATTTTTTTTTTTTTTTTTTATTATAGTTTCGCAGAAGCGTAAGTAATCGTTAGTAATCGGTATAATAATCGGTATATACAGTATGTATACAGTAGAGGTGTAGATATATTGCCGTATCCCAATGATGGGTTATAACTTCTATATGTCGTAACTATGTCATGACTCTTGGCTATATAATGCCGTATTGTCGTATGCCGTAACTATTGTCGTATGCCGTAACTATTGTCGTATGCCGAAACTATTGTCGTATGCCGTAACTATTGTCACATGTTATAACTATTACTATATATTATAATTATTGTTATATACTATGCTATTGCTATATTATAATTATTATTATATGTTTTAGATAATCATTTCGCGGTATAACGTTACGCACTATTTTTAACATTTTTAACGTTACGTGTATAATATTTATTATTTTATAAAAATGATAAAATTACAAAACGGAAATAATTCATCATCGTTACAACGTAATAACGTTTTATTTTAATAAGTAAATATCAAATTCTGTAATAAGTGAGTTGAAAGATAAGAATGATGTGCATCTCCCATAAAAATTTTAGACCTATATCATTAAAATTGAGCGAATGATGAGCAATTAAATTTCGAATAGAATAATTAATCGTGTTCGAATTTACCGCTTATCATTCGCTCAATTTTAATGATATAGGTCTGAAATTTTTACAGAAGATGCATATCATTCTTATCTTTCAGGCTACTTATTACCATTTTTGACATTTACTTATTTAAAATAAAAAGTTTATACGTTGTAACTATGATAAATTATTTCCGTTTTGTAATTTATAAATATTTTTATAAAGTTATACAATAAATAAAGATTGTAATTGATCATACCGCGAAGTGCATCTCATAACTTTTAAAATTGTATATAATATAATATTAAAATTTATAAATTTCAA